GATGGACGAGCCATTAAATAGTTCTGTGGAAACAGCCAATTATTAGCAATGAGATCCAATTTATTTTTTTATTTTTCTTCGTCTGTGTACACAGCAGACACGAGCAGAGAAAACCAAAACGGTATAAAAACATTGCCTGATCAAGCGTTAAACAAGCATAATATGTTGATCCTGTGTATGACGTCTCTTGACCTTAAATAAAATTCATATTTCCGTCCGTCTGTATAACACATGCAGAGATGACGCAATGACGGCGGTGTTTGCTCTTGAAGAAATCATCAACATCAGTTTATTTTTCACTTATCTCGATAAATATTTTTATACATAAAGAGAAAGTGCGATAAATTTTTCTACTCCAATGTGCGTGATTCGCTTTGTAAAGAAGACGTTTATAATGTATAAAAAAGGGTTTTATTTTCACGTTATAAATAACGTGTTTTGCTGACTAAAGAAATATTTGAATGTAATTTGAATATAAAAATAACGTTTGCGAGAAAATAGTGCGCTATAATTGGGGTATTTTTTTCGCAGCACAAAATACGGCATGTATAAACCGCAGTGTGGAATATCGAACCTGATGATGTCATGGGGCCACGATGAGTACCTGTACCGCTTGCTCGTGCATAACAAGAGTAAATTACCGAAGGAGGCTTTAGCGATGATTCGGTATCACTCCTTTTACCCTTGGCACGCCGGTGGCGATTATATGCACTTCTGCACTCAAGAGGACCTGGAGATGTTGAAATGGGTCATAGAATTCAAGTGAGTATTAAGTAATATCGCGACGCTTCGTGCATTGTTGCGTCTGCAACGAATGCGTACAAAGACTAAGCGGTTAATGGTTTTGTCAAATTGTCAGTTATATCGCATCATAAATTATAAACTGCAAGAATCAACATTAAATCACATTAAATTATTAATCATTATTATATTAAATTAATTTAATATTAAATTTAATATAATTCCTTTAATATTACAAAAATTTTTGGAACAAATTCGAACGAAAATTTCTCTCTCTCTCTCTCTAACTATTCATATTGATTCATAAATTGTAAATTATATTATTAGGATAAATTATTAGAAATAAATATTGTCGATTACTAATCTCACGTTACGAAAAATTTTGTAGCAAATTCGATCTTTACACGAAGAGCAATACCGTTCCAGACATCGAAAAATTATGGCCCTACTACGAGAAATTGATTGATAAATACATTCCTGGCGTGATAGAATGGTAACTATCACCTGTCGATTATTTCGATTTTATCTATAACGAATTATAAATACTCAATATTTATATAAGTTTTTAAAAGTAACGATTATTAATTACAATTATAATATAAACTTATTCTATCTTTAAACATAATTTAAACATAATAATAATATATATATATGTGACCTCTACTCTGTTGCTGTAAGAAAAATAAATTATCTAAAAATCTATCAAAAGCAATTGATTCTGTGTATCATACATTCGTACACGTGATCTCTTTTAATAATTGACATGCGACACATCACGCCAGATTGAAGGAAAAAAACGACGTACATGTCACTATGTATTAATTATGTATATATATATATATACATAAAAATTTTATTATTTTTATATTTTAATTATAAATTACTATGCAATTTATATTGATATTATATATTGTATATATTACATTAACATATGTGTAATATATAATATATTTTTTAAATAAGAAGCACAACTAAAGTATAATTAAACAATGTTAAAGTAGAAGAAAATACTCAACACTTTTATAAGAAAGTAAAGCAATTCAAAATAAAATCAAATTTAATCAACATATATATGAATCACTGAGTCACGGTAGATTTAGAGATCAAGACTTTGACTTAACATTTCGATCACGGACTGGCACATAATAGCTGACAACCAACGCATTCTTCCGCGGAATTCTCCGCGCGCGATGCGTCTTCCGCGACTCTGATACGCAGTTCGCGGAGCGGCCGAGCTTACGCGCGTTCCGAAAATTCGCACGGTAGCTTTTAGGCGTAAAATTGATTAGGCCTAAACGCTAGCTGGCTGGAGCGCGATGATAAAGATCACGATGAGTAATCCGTTCGTTAAACGGTGCGCGCGAAGGGGAGCTTGACTCATACGGGCCAGCTAGTACTTCGAATGAAGAATTCGTTCTCCACGAACTGGTTTGCTCGCTTTTACTAATGTATTCGTTTATGCAAAATCGCGTGCTTAGGATTATGCTCATTATCATAATTAAACGATATAAAATTTATTTGAAGGCGTGAATAATTAATTAATTTCAGCTAGAAGTAGATTTTTTATTATATATCATGATTAATAATGATGTGTGAGTTATTTGTCATAATTATACGATATGCGAATTTGGCGAACAGGGCAATACATCTTAAAAATTTGAAAAATGATCTTTCCAGAAATATAATTTATTGTCCTACAATCGTTCGGAATTTTTTTCATTACGCTCTTTATCTACATAAATTCCATTTTAAACCAGGCATCTCTCTATTTCTATTAGCATTTTTAAAACTGATTTCCATTTCCTGAATTATTCAAAGAGCTCAAAAATTTACTCAATGATATTTTTTTCAAGAAAACATTTCATTTTTCGCCGACAATTTTGACATAATTTTTAATATCTTTGGTATATCATTCTAATTATAATACTTCTCGTTGTTAATGATACATGTAAGATTACGCACCCTACTTTTACTATATTTACGCGATCGTAAGAGCATAATCCAGAGCGTCATAGTTAGCACACGGCAAAATCGAGGATGGTATAGTTAGCGACACGAGTGGCGAGCCTTTCCGCGTCTTGTCATATCTGTCATATATTATGAATGCGATGGAAGCTAAACTTTTGGCACACCACGGCTGTTCGCGGACTGTGCAGTAGCGCCTAGGAAGTTTTCAATAAACCGGACAATCTACTGTGTTTCACAGCCCCGATAAAATGACAGCGTCGCGCTGCCATAATAGAGCGCAACCTCTTTATCGTGTCTCCCGACTATCTAGTCGCACAGTAGCATCTTGTATATTTTCGCGGTATCTGCTTTCGCACGTTGCGCCCAGGAGCTTTCAGGTTGTGGCTGCACGATGCCCTTACATGAGTATAAAATACGCGAGCGCAGCGCGGAGAAACGAGAACAGTAATGTAAAAGAGTTCATTTTAGGCAATGCTTCGCACATTGCAGATAACTGCACAGAGCTAAGCTTGTCTATAAATAAAAAAAAAACTATAACATAAACTGCCGTCGTTTTACAAAGATGTCTGCTGTCTTTGAAAAATTATTATGAATAATTTATCTTTAATATATTTTTATGTATCAAACTCGATAGTGAGTGAAAGTTGATTTCGCAATAGGGTCTCATTTCTCGTATTATTTTTTATAATATTGATTTTATATTTTTTCCAGAGATTTTTAGATTTATTTTTCTCCCACATTTATTTCTCAATCTATTTTTAATACTGGTTTTTTAAATTTAGATTTTATCATATATTTGATGAAAGAGAGAAAGCGATCTTTTCAAGACACACCGCTGTAGTTGCTAAGCTAAGTCTTATAAACGTTCGTGAAACATTTACGACCATTATTTTTTTCTAATTACAAGATGACCTTTATCGAGAACTATTATTTATATATAAATATATATATTTTGCGTACGATAACCTTTTGATAAAAGTTACGAAAAGTTAATCTGGATTTTTTTTGTAGAATACATGCGCGCGATAGGCTTGTTAACGAACGGATTGATCGATCGTAAGTCGTTTCTGCACAGGGTAATTGTTGGTTGTGTTTAATAAGTGAGTATGCGCATAAGATACACGCGAAACATGCATTCTAATCTCATTGTTTCGCAATTATGCGGTCGCCGATCTTGCAATGCGTTCGCGCAACGCGCGAAAGAACAACGTGTTGAATTTTATCTATTTAAAGTCCTATTTCAATCTCGAATTAATCCCTAATTAATTTTCCTCCGAAATTGATCGCAACAAATCTATTTGCGGATACGATAAATATTTATAAGCTCACGCAAATGTATAATTCATGAACTCGTTTAAAATATTCATTCGAAATTAAAAGTAAGAGCTTAGGAATTCAAATAAGATTTTTTTATCATCTACTACGACGAGAATAAGAAAAAAGAAAAATGCTGCAAAAGCACTTCTCGTGCACTTCTCATACTTATCGAGCGCAGTATTACAGAATTAACTTACGACTTCGCGGTATTCTTACAATCTCACGTGTAACGAAAGAGATCTGAAAGGCCGTTATTGTCTAATTAACGACTACGCGCCTCGTTCACGAGGTGAAATTATTCCGACGTATCGCTGTTGCGCGCGGGTTATTAACGAATCGACTGATTGCGACCCCGCCCAGAGGAGTAATTGTCGGTTTTCTGCATCATCGCGGTGTGCATTTTCGCCGAGGTCGCGAAGGGCGGCGCGGCCGAGTCCCTTTAGCGAACTGGGACGCGCGCGATGTTAATAAAAGGCCGGCCGCGTAGTTACTCAGCCAAAACGGGGTTACTCCACGCATCGGGAGATCGATGCGTGGAGGCGTGTAACCGTGGAGTCGCGCGGACACGTTCGATCATACGTGTAAGAGGAAAGTACTTTTTCGCGTAAATGGAAGAGGCGCGACACGCATTTCGCTAATTTCCCCGTTAAATTTATTACCCTCATATAATGGTATTAGATGCGATGGAACTTGAAACGCTTCTACGGAACGCAACGTGCTCGTAAAGAGAGTAGCGTCCTTTTAATTTTATAATAATTAATGCAGCGTGTAAGGGATTGTTAGAAACCATTTCAAAGCTTTGCTCTCCGAAGAATTGTGTTGAGAGATGTTGATATTGAGAAATTAAATTAATTTTGCCGTTACGCGAAAACAAATTAAATTTTACAAAGAAATTAATTGTACATAGATTTGTAAACAAAATGTACAGTGGAACGAAAAATGACGCAAACACTTTTTCATGTTGTAAAAAAATTGTAAATATTATCGCAGTGGTTTCTCACGGCGACTCCTTACGAAGACTTTGAAGACGCGGCTGGCCGGTCGAGTTCGTTACTCCGGGCTTCTTTATTTTTAGTGAACCGTCGCTTTACTCTTTCTCTCAACCTTCTCTAAATTTTAATATTCGCTCTCCACACGCAACTCCGTCGACTTCCGCCTGTTCTTTGTGGCTTCGTCACGGCATCACTTTCTCTCGCTAGGATCGCTCGTCAGGATTTTTCGGAATCTTCAATTCTTTTTGCTCAATCTATCACCGCGTAACAATATTCAATAATTATATAAATAATTAAATAATATTTTACGATCAAATAAAATTAATAAATAAAAATTTTTTTATTGAAATATTAATGAAATGAAAAAATCAAGAGAAACTTGTTAATGTTATTAACTTATATGTTGTAAAGAAATGGTTTTATTTGAAATATTATTGTCTTTTTTAATAATAGATTTCTTAATTAGAAATTAATTTTTTTTTTCCACGAAGGCTCATTACTGCAGCTCTCTTTTAATAATATCGATCTTTATAGCTAAAGATTAAATCGATCCTTTATTTTGAATATAATGATGATTGTATTTATATAATTGCATTTAATTTCCGCGTAATTATACCATAGAAATTTTATTGTCAACGTTAAAATAAAATTTATCGTTAACGCAAAAGGTCAGAGCTCTAGAATGTAATTTAAATTCTCGTGCTTCTTTTATAAGAATTCACCTTCGCGCGCTCAGGGTTGATCGAACGACCGGAGAGATAGGAATCGTGACGAAGCGTAGGAGGGAAACCGACGGATCATTCCTGGGGCGCTCCCAGTGGACGCAGGTGACTTACCTGGAAGTCCAATTAGCGGCAATTCCGCGACGGAGAACGTGCGGACGGCTGCGAGTGCGCATTAAACGCGGGCGTGCGATCGCGATCGCGCGAAACGAGAGGCACTCTTTTCCCCCCCGCTGGGCAGAGCGCTGAAGCTGCGTGTCGACGAAATTGGCTTAGTCAGCCGGCCGCATTATGGAGCATTACCGGACATTAACGGGAACGTTATTGTGGCAGCATCAGTTCGCATCGCCGTCCGCGATTATGTATCGAGCCCAGTCCATGTATGCCGTTGATACGGATTTGTGTGTGTGTGTGTGTGTGTGTGTG